ACAGCAAACAAGTGAAAGATTCTACAACCTCCGATCCGTACTGCTACTGCCTTCGTTACCGACACTTATTCACACCACCCTATGCAGCCTTGCACGCAAGACAGTTCAATGGAAAAGCCTTCGCTACTCTGTTCAGAGAACCGCTTAGCAGACTTCAGAGGCATCGTACTGTATAGCGTTTTGAGAATCGCTTCTTGCACTAGCAGACGTTCTTGCGTAGGAATAAGAGTATTTTCAATGAACGTTAATCTTTTAAAGATACAACAAACTCAGAAGAGAAAGGCGAGGACTGCTCTGTTTCTGTCTTAGCCCACCTCTTCTATCGTAGCCTGTACTGACATCCCACATGCTGGACTCTTCAATGGAGTCTGTGATACGCTCACCGATGTACATTCAGACTGACAGTTATACTGACAGAGCGTAGACTATTATTTTGTGACACTGATGGGATGAAACCCAGTTATGTTTGCTATCGGTTCATATACACTGTCTTTTTGATTACAGCGAAAGAATTTTTAAGTATCACAATTCAGATTGCGCTTTTGTATTGACGATTTCTTGTCCAATCAGGTTCATTCTTTACTTTCTTTACCATCATCTCCAACTTCCGCAGACTTTTCTTTGCCTGAAAAAAAAAACTCGCTTAATCTCAAATAAACGGTCACCGCAGAGAAACCTTCTCTCTGACTGCTATCCAAATGGAGCAAAAATAATTCCTATTTATAGCTACTATTAGCTTAACCGATATGTAATTTCGTTTTTATTCAGATGAGTTTTTTCTATAAAATTCCGCGCTTGCTCATAAATTACAGAACTACAAAATTTAATGGTCTGCAGTAATGAAACCTTTGCTTCTTGTACATCTAGTATAAACTTGTTGAACTTCAAATTTGAGAAATTAGAAGTCCAGTCAACAAAAATAAGCCTCTTGTCCGAACTCTGTTTCCCTTTTGGAGAAATCGATCAGTGATATACCCCCTGCTCCGTCGCGACCTCGTACAAACAATCCAATATTAAATCATTCGAGAGGCGTTTCTGTTTCTTTTCGTATTGGCTTTCCTGGTCGATCTTTGGGTAACAACGGTTTTACGAATCGAATTTTTCCTCTAAAGTCCAGCTTTGATTCTGGCGATGTACCTATCGTGAGCTTTTTTCTGCTCCATTTGCTATTTGCCCACGTTTTTTGGGATTAAACTTCAGCTGGGAGAGATTTTAGGGTTACGTCATAACGTGGCCAATCCGCGAGAATGACCAAATTACTTCAAAGAACATTTCCTTGCAAAAGATGGTCAAATCACAAAATCAGAAGTGCTTCTCATTCTTAGCCGTGACTTCTTTCAAACACTCCGTTAATTTTTGAACATCTCACAGTCAGCGGTAAAAACGTTTAGGGTAACCATTGAGTCTGAGAGAAAACCAAATTCGAAAAAAAAACAGCGTTACCTAGTAAGCAACCCATTAGCGGACTCTCTGGAAGAGGTCATGATCGAAGGCAAGATTCAGGACTGAACTGCTCGGGTTATTCCACTCAAATGTGAAAGTAGGGATGGGAAGTGGACCGCCAGTGGAGAAAAAAATCGTGAAATGCACAGGAAATACGAGCCTTTTGCTCTACGCTGCGGAAAAGTTCAAAAGGCCGGCAGGGAGAGAGATAATGTGAGCGCGGAGAGCGGTAGAGAAGTCCGAGTAGAGAGAGCATAGCAGATCAACATTGCGACGCAGACAAGATATCGAGCGGTGGGCGGAGCGTGTCGGTACTGGTGGAGCGTGCCAAAGTCCTTAGCGCCTAGCGTCTAAGCTTTTCGAGTAGGGAAGTAACGCGACCTCTGCAGACCTAGCGCTTCTAGCCTGCAGTAAAGGCTCATTAAGTGGGTCTGAACCCGAACTTTGCCTTCAAGTAAAGGGTGTACCATTGCTCAATTTCTCCTAAAGAAGAACAGAGTTGGAGCTAGTTCCCTAGAAAATTATACCTCGTATAAATAAGTTGATGTATAATAAAACTTGTTCACACTAAAGGCTCAACTTCTGTCTTCGCAGAAGTACTCCGCAGAAAGTTCATTGTGGGAATGACGTGATAGCCCTAATCACGAATCTCAAGTAGTTTTGTTTTCCCGACACCCCGTTCGCGATTGCGGCTATACACAGCTTCAGACATGAGATTGCAAAGAATTTGGGGATCATGAAGTACCCTTTAAGAAACCTGCAACCGGAAGTTAAACAAGATTTAACTTCTTGTCGCAACAAAGGTCGATTCAACTATTATTTGTACTGAGGATTTCACGAGAATCTAGTGAATCTTCAGAGGAATACAGGAAATTTTCCTGATTCCTTCGATAAAGAAACGTAATCGCGTTAATAACCTGTAGTGATAAGTTCCCTTTGAACGCCTTGAAATGACTGTAAGACTCACGACGCTTGCTATTCTCCTTCGACGGCTTAGCCTCGTCCTTGGATTGGTGATCGTTTTCACTTCTACCTGTTTCACGTGTTCCGGTACTTTCTTTTTTCTTTTCTTCGGTTTCCTTTAATCGATAACACTTTTACTGCTTGCAAGTGTATTTAAAAATGCACGCAGCAGCACAGCAACGTAGAAATAACGTGAAAAGAAGGAAGAGGAAGAAAGAAAAGACTAAAGACTTGATACATACAGAAGAGTGTTCTTTCGGTTTTACCATATCTGAGCCGTCAAACATCACTGCATACGTATGAGTTGACATGATTCCCGTAAGCGCTGTAATTAATAGTGACTCGTACTCGTTATGAAGGGCGGAAGTGGTGTAGTGGCAAGTGGCACGCTTACCACGCGAGCGGTCCGGGGATCAAATCCTGGGTCGTGAGTCGCCCGGGCCAACCAAGCCTTCCATCCCTCCGGGGTCGGTTAATTGGTACTTGTCTGGGAGGATAAAAAAACACTGACTTGGCTGGCCCCCGCAAGTCATTGTATAGGCCACATCGCATTCAAAACGCCACTACACATTATCAGTATAATGTATTGTACCCTATTTCATAGCATTGTATAGCATGGCATTGTGGGTATTATTTGTATTATTTTTCAAGCGTTTCCTGTAGAGCAAAAATAGTTAAATTGAGTAGAAGAACAAAACGCAAAACTGACGAATTAAGAAGTATTTTGACTTGTGCTGTCGTGCCCTCAGACGGAAGCCAGACTCGTAGAATAATTCTCTACCCGTGATCTTCAGTACAGAATAGAGCAGAAATTGTTGAATGAACGCATTTTATAGGAGGGACAAGGAGCATGTACATCCTTAGAGAAGCGTGATTCAATGAATGAACTCCGAAATGAAGACATATTATTCTCATTGGGGATATTAGACTATTGACAAAGCTACTGCAAACCGCCGACAGTGTCTTCATCGCAGATTCTGGCATTGTAGGGTGTCGTTAGGTTCTTCCCGTGATCTATCAACATCTCAGGGATGGCACTCAGAGGAAGTTGGGCTTCTGTTGTCAAAACACCTACGGAGTCGTCAATCTTTTGACTAATCCTCAACCTCCTTTGTTATTTTTGAAAGATCCTAATCGGTATTGATAAAGAAGGGAGCCCAGAAATAGATTTCAGAAAAATAGAATAATAGTCACGGAAGTCAGCGGGTGAATGGGGCTACTAATTGCTCAGTAAAGCTAATGGTGGAGCTACTTCGAAGAATATGTTTCGCATCTTCATCGCTTTTCTAGAAATTTTTTCAGCAACAAACGTAAACCTGATTCACTAATTATATTTAGACTTTTCTAGTAAATAAAGGATAAATAAAGGATAAAGCATTTGCCGTTGATCAATCCCTTTTTGGGATGCGGCACGCATTCTACTTCCATTTGTACATTCGTAGTGGCGTTTGAATGCGATGTGGCCTATACAATGACTTGCGGGGGCCAGCCGATGTACAAGTCAGTGTTTTTATCCTCCCAGACAAGTCTGGTACCAATTAACCGACCCCGGAGGGATGGAAGGCTTGGTTGGCCCGGGCGACTCACGACCCAGGATTTGATCCCCGGACCGCTCGCGTGGTGAGCGCTCCACTTGTCACTACACCACTGCCGCCCTTCGTATTAAATACTTTCATAAAACCATAAAAGTAAACAACAAATAAGAGCATAGATAGAATTATGCTTCTCGAGCACTGACCGCAGGCTATCCAGAGCCCTTGGAAATATGGTGGCTTGGTCTTGCAGAAGCGTCTTGAAGCAGTAAGGCTCGACGCTAGTTGAACACACTGCGGAGAATAAAGCAGGAGAACATTCTAAAAGTACACACATTTTTCCTACGAAACTTATTTTTTTGGACAAAGTTTTTACTACGGACAACAAATAGTAAGGCTGCCGAAGACAGAAGAAGTGGAAAGAACATACTGCGTCCAAAAGTATCATTACGTTCATGGGCCCGCACGACTGGAGGAATTTTTCACGGGGAACCCTTGCATTTTTTTTCCTAACATGAGTACGTAACTCACTATCACTAAGGACATCGTACAGGCTTTCACCCCAAAATTTATTTCCCCAAGGAAAACAAGCCTACGAAAACCACGGTCTATGGACGGTCGTGGGCAGGTCGATCAGAGACGAGGGAATTCATGGGAAAATTCGAGAGTACAGGCAAAACGATAGTAAAATTAGGAAGCAGTAGAAAAAGCCATTTTGCTACCATAGGTGGAAAAGGATAAAAAGAGTTTCTAGTGAGGCACTCCGAGAACCACTTGTAAGCTTTCCCTTTGCTAACATTTGTAACACATGTACGGCGAGAATTCGAACGCGCAACAGTTCTTCCGGTTTTGGAGTGGTTCACCAAAGCAAACATTTTTTTAAAATCATTCTTATCGCGAATGATAGGTCACGTGCCAATATCTGCGAGTGAGATCGAACCATTTCTCCGCGGACGATTGTTTCAATCATTCACGACAATGCGCATCTTGCTTATCGGTGGGACAGCCGCGATTTCACATTAAATCTGTGGCGGCAGCATGATCGAAAGGGACTCTAATCAAATTGCTTTATCAGCACCTGCATATATTAGGTTGGAAGGAAAGTTCCTTAACACTCAATTCGCGCTCTTTCTGGATTTCTCCCGAATGCTCTGGAATCTTCCATGGGTGGTATATAGTAGGAGTGGACCGTGCTACGTACGGTGATCAAATCAGCTTTCCCAATAATGGCGTTTGCATGGCACTAAATCAACTTTTCCCGCCAGACACTCCGAGCGCTCATTCTGTAAGAGCTCCGCCTAGAGAGATCTGCCCACCAGAGGTGGTCAGGATCAGTCCCGGGATAGGCCTGGGCACGTTCTCTCACATGGCGGTTTCGGCTTGGTTTAAACGCTCCGCAGCGAAGACTTTGATCTTTCTGACGCAACACACGACTACTGCCCATTTTGACGTTTGACGGTATTTCCCACGGGTGATGATCTGTCTGGAGGATTGACGAGTACAAGGGCTTCACAATGCTAGCTGCTCGAAAAGATTGCAGAAGAGCTTCGCCGAATATAGCGACAAGTCAACCTGCTTCACGACAACGCGCAACGTCGCGGTGTTCGGTCTCAAGCCACAAGACTCTGAAGCCAGGCAGGACCGCGGCTGCCCGTCTGCCATATTCGTCAAACCTATCTATACACCTCTTCAACCTTTCCTGCTCGCTTGCTCATTACCTGGAGAACAGGAAGCTCGACGACGTAAACGAGCGCAAATCCGACACCAGAAGGTTGTTTGGCAAAAATCTTCCTAATTTCTAATTTCTGCGGTGTCACCCAAATGCCCGAAGGTTGGCGTAGTGTTGTTGTATCTAATGGTCAATATGTTATGGATCATTGAATAAATAAAGAATAAAAAAATAAATTCAAAAATTGAGCTACAAGTGTTAAGGAACTTTCCTTCCAACCTAATACAAGGAATAGATATCCACACAATTAGTTTTGTTGGTTTCCTCATGTCTGCAGAATGCGCCCGTAGTACAGTCACCAGATGCGAACACAAACATGAAACGTAATGATATCCGTGTACATGAGGTCAAGCTCTCAAGGACTAAATCTAAATCTGGGATTCAGATCAAATTTCAGAAAAAACAGTTGTTTGTTGAACCTTCCTAGGCTTATCATGGTCTTTGAACCATGCTGTCAAGTTAATGGAGAGATAAGGAAGCCGAGACTGGCCATGACATCTGCAAGTGACCCCATGCGAGGAGTATCCGGTGACTCAGGACGGAGCCGGCAATCCCCGTCTTGCTCTACTACCTGAAGAACATTTTCGAGTGAACGCGTTTGGATTTCTTTGCCGAAGCGCCGAATGATTCCATGAATCCCAACATATTTCCTGCAACTGAACCTTTTCGTCTGCGGAATGGGCAGCAGGTTGTCTCTTGAATTCTTCGATAGGTCCTTTTATATTAGATGGATTTTCCCTGCGTGTTGCATAAACTCAGCCAGCCAGCAGCCTCTATAGAAGAGAGAGAATTTTCTTGTAATTGTATTACAACTAAAACAACACAAAGGCAGGGCTTATCTTTGTGTTGTTTTAGTTGTAATGCATTTGCAAGAGGTAGACCCTGCCTTTGTGTTGTTTTGGTTGTCCTCATTGCTAAATTGTTCACTTTTCATGCCTGCAGCACATTACTGGTCACATATAGCACATTTGCAAAACGTTTGCTGGAGTGCTATGTTTTCCCCCATAGAGATTGAACAGGTTGTGTTCCGTGCCAAAAATGAAGGTGGATGGCCAGCAATCCGAAGCATGGTAGTACCAATTTATCGCTGCCTTCCCACTATCTATTCGCTATTATATGGCTCCTATTTACATGTTTATGCAAATGTTTTCTCGATTCGAGAACAATGAGAGGTGTTCTAATAGTCTCAATGTCACATAAACGTGGGTGAATTTGAATTTACATTTTGGTTGATATTATGTACAATACGGAAGAAATCCTCTGCGCATATTTCTTCATGATCTTTTATATTGCATCTGTCCATATCTGCGTATATGAACATTCAGAATGCCTTAGAAAATTACGAGGCTCGTTCAGGTATTAAAACACAACGACGCCAGAGTGAGTGTTTTCAAATGCCGTTTCAAACAACGAAGAATCGGTGAAATGCTCCACAATGAGATCGGAACCACGGGTATTTATGAATATACACACAATTGCAGAAATATTACAAGAAAAATATCTTTCCGTTATAGAGGCTGCTGTGAGTTGATGCAATATGCAGGGAAAATCCATCAAACATAAAGGGGACTATCGAAAAGGATTCTAGAAAAAAAAACTGCTGTCCTTTCCGCAAGAGAAACGTTTTAGTTGCAGAAATGGTGGAATTAATGGATTCTTTCAACGCTCCGACTAAGAAATCTGAACGTTTTCATCGTTCACTCGAAAATGTTCGGTTGTCAGTTGAGCAAGACAAAGGGAACTTTGGCCAAGGAGTACTATGCAGTGCGATAGAGCGGCCACACGAATACTAATCTGAATGAAAAACTACTCGGGAAGCATCCTGGTATCCAAGACTTTCAAAAATCGGAGGCTAAGTATTAGGTTGTTGCATTTTCGTGAAGATGTCGTACAGATTTAGCTTCACCTAACTCGACTTTAAACTTCTAGAGGTACTTCACATTCATTCGAAAGAGGATATCCAGAAGTATGAAAGCGACTACATGTTACACATATCATTACCATT